CTAACAATTGGTATCGGAGCAGGAAGTTCTTCGAATACGTTATTTTTCAGGAACTAAAAGATCAAATGGCATCAAGGATGTTCAACGCAGGAGTGACCGAGGGACAATCAACCACGAGGCCACCTTTGTTCGATGGAACAAACTACTCGTATTGGAAGGAGAGGATGAGAATCTTTATCCAATCCAACGACTACAAGCTGTGGTTGATTGTGAAAAACGGCTGCGGAGTCCCGATGAAGAAAGTCGGTGAAGTCGACGTCCCCAAAACCGAAGAGGAGTTCACCGACGAAGATTGCAAAAAGATGGAGCTCAACGCAAAGGCAATAAACATGATTTATTGCGGTGTTAATGCGGATGACTACCGTAAAATCTCGCGGTGTGAAACCGCAAAACAAATGTGGGAGAAATTGGAGGTCACCTATGAAGGAACCGCGCAGGTTCGGGAGGCCAAAATCGACCATCTTACTCACGAGTACGAACTCTTCTCAATGAAGGAAAACGAGAAGATTGAAGAAATGTTTGAGAGGTTCTCTAACATCATCAATCCTCTCAATCTTATCGGGAAGACCTACACCGACCGAGAACTCGTGAGAAAGGTGTTGCGAAGCCTATCCCCCAAATGGCGTTCAAAGGTGGACGCAATCGAAGAAGGTCGTGACTTCCAAACAACGACCTATGATGCTCTTCGAGGTAATCTTATTACCTACGAAACCACCCAACTCTCAAAGGTGGTTGAAGAGAGGAACAAGAGGTCTATTGCTCTACCCGCAACAACGTCAACACACAACAACATTGATGATGAAGATGATGACAGCGACGACACCGACCTCGGATTCTTTGTCCGAAAATTCAAGAAGATGATGCTCAAGAAGGGAGCCAAGAAAAACACTCCACCCAAGTGCTATGGGTGTGGTGAAATTGGGCACATCAAACCAATGTGTCCGAAGCTCAAAAATGAGAAAGACAAGAAGGCACCGAAGAAGCAACGTGCCTACATTTCTTGGGAGAACGACGGCTCCGGGAGTGAAGACTC